AGTCTGGATCAGTCTGGATCAGTCTGGATCAGTCTGGATCAGTCTGGATCAGTCTGGATCAGTCTGGGTCAGTCTGGGTCAGACCTGTAAGGTCAGAAGGACCAGTCTAAATAAAAAGTTTCTGTGACTCTATAAAGTCATAAACCCCTCAATCAAAGAAGCGCCTCATTTGGATTTAAAGATACAGCCTCAAAACGAGTTGATCTGAGACACATGTCAACAAAGGGGTGAAAGAGGGGCTTGTGGAGTTACAATAAGGAGGAGTTCAGACCAAAGCTTTGCCTCACCTCATAAATGGGCCAAACTGAATGGTTTAAATGTGAAACAGAAGGATTTAAAACACATGTTTACTTTTAAACACATCCACAGACATCCCTCCATTAACTCACATGTTGTTAAAAGCTGCCAAAGCATGACATCATCATCATCATCATCATCATCATCTTCATCTTCTTCTTCTTCTTCATCATCATCATCATCATCATCTTCAGAGGCGTTTGCTCTAAGACTGCAAGGGAAGCTCAGCTTCCCCTAAAATGTAAAAAAAAATAAGTGACCAAATACACACTGTTGTGTGTTCATGTCATTGACTAAATATGTGCTACAACACACTCAACTTTTGTTCAGAACCAGCTTCTTATCACAGTAACGACACAGCTTTCCTCTCCTCAGTCCTGCAGCTTCACAGCTTTAAACAGTCGGACGCTGAGCGTCTGCATGATGATTGGATGATCTGTCTGAGGCTGAATCCCTTTTTGATTGACAGCAAAATGAGCGAATCAGAGATCTTTTTGGTGTAAACAKTCAGKGGAGCAGTTTTTAGTTTCATTTCTGAGTTGAACCGGAGACTTTCCTAATCCTCTTAGCTGCGTTTTCTTTGTTAAAAACAACTAGAGACAAATCAAACTTCTGTTCCTTCAATGACCTGTAACAGGATCACTGATCGTTTTGTTAAAAAGGAACAGAGGGTAGTATTTATAACCTACACATTTTATTATGTAGGCCAAAACTGAGCTTCCTCTTGTTGAAAGACCAGCATTCACCACTGGTCATCATCATCATCATCATCATCATCCTCATCCTCATCATCATCTGGACCTGCAGACTGGTTCAAAGTGTTGTAATCTTGCTGTGTAACTTGTGACGTCAGGATTACTAACTGACCTAAAACAGGAACGACTTTGCGTAATTAGATGTCAGACAGTGTGAAAAGAAATGTGTCTTTTTATATGTTGTATTTAAATATACACCGTGTAAATAAATACAAGCATATACCTCAAGATACAGAATGTGCAATATTTAAACAATGTACAACAATGTTGTTTAACTTTCTTCTACTTTAGTTTCACATTTACATCCAACACTCATTGTGCTTTTTTATTGTTTTTCTATTGTTGTGGATATACACACACACACACACACACACACACACACACACACACACACACACACACACACA